ACCGGTCTCGCGCACCAATTTTCTTCTACCCTCCCTAACCTCCTCGTATTTCCCCAAGTGTCTCAGCCTGACCTTTCCAAAAGAATGTAGTTGCGCCATTCAGGTGTGGTGGCCACTAACAACCTGCCCCGACCTCTTCCCTCGACAAGTTCTCTTCAGAAGTCCGGGGGTTGTTTTCCAACCCATAGATAGATCGCTGAATCATTCTGTGATTCCGTGAGCAACTCCATCTGCCTGCCTGCCTGCCTGCCTGCCTGCCTGTCCGCTTTGCCTGATTTTGAGTAAAAGTTGCTCTTTTTTTAATACCCCCCCCAAAAACTCAATTTTTGTATAAATATTTATAATATTTACATATAAGCCATGCCCAGCCAGTCACATGACCAGCGAGTCACACCCACAAATTAGGCCACACCCACAGAACCAGTTAGTGGTCCCTGGTATCCACTGCCCAAGGGTCGATCATATTCCATGTCTGAGCCCGAATTGGCTGCTCTTCGAGAGTTTCTGCATAAGAACTTGGCCCGGGGATTTATCAGACCATCCTCGTCTCCTCTTTCTGCTCCTGTTTTTTTTGTAAAAAAAAAAGAAGATGGGGGAGTTACGTTTGTGCTGTGACTACCGCTGGTTGAACGCCATCACGGTGAGAAATAGTTATCCCTTGCCGCTCATTCCAGAGTTGATGGAGCGGTTGCGGGAGGCCACTGTGTTCACCAAGCTCGATCTTAGAGGGGCCTACAACATGGTGCGGATGCGCAAGGGGGATGAGAGGAAGATGGTGTTTTGCATCTGATGTGGACATTTTGAATACACCGTAATGCCGTTTGGGTTGACCAACGCTCCTGCAGTTTTCCAGCACTTAATGAATGACATTTTATGGGACATGCTGGATCGGTTTGTGGTGGTGTTGTGGTGGTGACTAGCCACCTTCGCCAAGTCCATCAGGTATTACAACGTCTTTGGGAGCATAAACACTATGCGAAGCTGGAGAAAAGCCTCTTTTTCCAGACTTCCGTAGAGTTTTGGGGGCACATCATTTCTCCCAAGGGCATTGCCACGGACCTGAGGAAAGTTGAGGCCTTGTGTAGTTGGGAACCCCATCGTTGAGTAAAGGACGTGCAACGTCTCTTGGGGTTCGCTAATTACTACAGGACCTTCATCCCGGATTTTGCCAAGTTGATGGATCCCGTCACCCAGCTCCTTTGCAAGAAGGTCCCGTTCCAGTGGGGGGGGCCCGCAGCAACGGGCTTTTGAGGCTCTAAAGAAAGCCTTCGTTGTTGAACCGATATTGAGACATCCTGATCCGAATCGTCCATTTGTGGTCGAGACAGATGCCTCCAACGTAGCTAAGCCCCAACGGACAGCGTACCTTTTTTCCCATGCGCATATTATTCAAGGAAGCTCACAACTTCTGAGCGCAATTATACCATTTGGGAAAAGGAGTTGCTGGCCATCAAGGCTGCGTTTGAGACCTGGCGACATCATCTGGAGGGGGCTCGACACAAGGTGGAGTTTCGGACGGATCACCATAACCTGGAACATTTGTCCACTGCCAAGAAGTTGAACCAACAACAGATTCGGTGGTCGTTGTTCTTCGCTAGGTTCAACTTTTCAGTGACATACGTTCCCAGTGGACAAAATCGGAGGGCGGATGCCCTATCTCGTAAACCTGAGTACCATAGTCCCGAAGACCCTCTTCCTCCACATATGGTTCTGCCACCGGAAGCTTTGGCTGTTATTCAGGACCGGTGGATTTGAGGGCTTGAGTACGAGAAGTGCAGCGCGTAGACGCTCGGTCACAGCAAAGGATGGGGGAAATTGGACCTGACTCCCCATGGACTCTAGAGGAGGGCTTGCTACGGCATCGAGGACTATTGTACATACCCACCAGGACGCTTAGAGCCCTCATCATGACTCAGTGTCATGACAATCCTGCTGCTGGCCATTTTGGCTTCTTTAAAACTCTTCACCTCGTCACACGGACTTTTTGGTGGCCGCGACTCCGACATGACGATTTTTCTTACGTCGCCTCTTGTATTACATGTCGACAAGCGAAGGCCGCATCGGGTGCGCCTCCTGGACTCCTTCAACCACTGCCGACTCCAGGTAGACCATGGGGGGCGATCTCCATGGATTTTCTGATGCACTTACCCTCGTCATAAGGGTATATGATGGTACTCGTGGTGGTTGACATGCTCACCAAGATGGCTCATTTTATCCCTTGTCGGAAGTTGCCATCGGCCCACACTACTGCCCAGTTATTTCTGAAGCATGTTTTTTGTTTACATGGTCTGCCGGACAGGGTAGTTTCAGATCGTGGTGTCCAGTTTACCGCTCGGTTTTGGAAGAATCTCATGGCGGTGTTACGAGTGCAGGTGTGTTTGGCATCGGCACATCATCCGGAGACTGATGGCGGGACTGAGAAAGTGATTGGCATCCTCACCCAATATCTGAGATGTTTTGTCAACCGTCGGCAGAATGATTGGGTGACTTACCTCCCTTTGGCGGAGTTTGCCTTTAACAATTCGCAGCATACATCTACTCACGTAATGTCATTTTATGCGAACATGGGCTACCATCCACGATTTTCTGTTGTCAGTTGTGGACTCCCCAGTCCCAGAAACGCGAGAATTTCTCGAGGAGTTGCAATCGATTCACTGATTAGTGGTGCAACAACTGGAACGGGCGAAGGAGGACTACAAACGGTTTGCGGATCATTCACATCGGGCGCTGCCTCCACTACCTGTGGGTGACAAGGTGTGGTTATCCACAAAGCACCTTCGGGTCGATCACCCGATTAAGAAGTTGGACCACCACTTCATTGGTCCATTCCCTATTGAGGCGGTCATCAATCCCGTCGGGTATCGACTCACCCTACCGCACTCCATGTGCATTCATCCTGTCTTCCACCGTTCCCTTCTGGTTCCTGACTCCCCATCGTGTGCACTCCGTTCTCCCGAAGGTGCGACTTCTCCATCGGTACCCAGCGATGAGACCGTCGCTGATGATACAGTTGTCAGCGTTCAGGATTCTCGCTGGTTGAAAGGATGCTTTCAGTACCTCGTCGGGAGGATGGCAGATGGCGTGGAGGTTCTCTCTTGGGTGGATGCTTCAACTGTTTGTGCTCCCGACCTTATCCGGAGGTTCCATGAACACTTCCCATCGAAACCGCATCCGGCTTGTCAGACTCGGGGGAAGGGCCCTGCGGTGAGGGATAGTGTTGTGCCTCTGAGGTTTGAACCGGGGCAGTCAGCAGATGTAGGCTCGAGTGAGGAGGAAGATTGAGATTCGAGCCTGCATTGCTGAGCGACCTTGAGAGGAGTCTGGGGAAAGAGGAGGAGTTGAATCTGAGAGATGAACCTGATTTATTAGAAGTTTCAGAGACGTCTTCCTCTTCTGGAACTCCCTCCCTGATTGCACTTCAGGTGTTAACTGTTAATCAGGAAAGTGTATCAGAGGATTCCAGCTGTGA